AAGAATATAGTGGTATCAACAACTCATTTTGGGGTTCTTGAACCCGAACTATCTTTTTGTTAGCATGGAACCCATATATCGAAGAAACATTATCAGTTTGTTTGCTTTTTATTCTTTTGTCGCAATTCTATCTCTTTCTGCAAATTCAATGACGTATCGAATCTTAACCGAATTGCTAATGGATCATCCTCTGACCTAGTAAGATCAAATACAATAAATTCATTTTTTCGTAGATAATCGTGGATGCATCTTTTACTCAAGTGACTACTGCGCCTCATTATTGGCATATTTACTATTTTTATATTGCATTATGTCATTGATTGCGCGTGATTAGCTGTGTAACATTCCAATATCTATAAAAAAAGCAAAAAAAAACTTTTTAAACTGTGCAACATGTCGACTGCTTCATCTAATGACGAATCTGACACATCCGCATCGTATGTCTCCAAGAAATGAAAAAATGCCAAGGTTGAAGGCTCTTCCGCACCAAAACGGCAGTCACGGCGCATTGCCAGTCAAAGCTCGGATCTTACGGTTTCCATCACCCAGCTTAGGCTCAATTCCAGTTTAAGCTCTAGTTATGACTTAAATAACCAGGCATCTGGGGTGAACACAGATACAAATATGAACACAAGTGTGAACACAAATACAAATATAAATGAAGCCGACGAAAAGGAAAAGAATTGGTGGTTGAGTAAAGATTCTTTAGGTTCTCTGGGTGTTGAAGAGGAAAGGTAAAACGTTAGTATTTACTTATTACATTTGTTTCATGCTAAATTTTGATTTACCTTGTCAGATTACCTCTGGTTTTAGCAAGAGATGTAACATTTAGTCGGTTCGCAAAACGAGTTGAGATTATTAAGGCCAGGAGGTTTTTTGACTATCGTAATGGAACTATAACAATTATTGAGTTACCAACTGGCGAACACGAAGTTACACACTCCAAATTTAGTCGTCAGTTTACAAGTGCATTCAATAACGCACTAGCACAAGATGATATAGAGGACTGGGGTGCAAAAAGTAAGTCCTAATAAGAATTTAGCCTGCGTACATGTTTTGCAGTGCTAACTAATTTTATTGCATCCAGGTTTATACACTAATCTTCTATCAGATGAATATGAAGAGCCGGACGCATGCTTTATACCCAAACGTCTACTCGATCCACTGAACCCAGCACAAAATACTTGTGATCAAAATGTTTGTATTATTTGTCAATATTATTATTAATTTGTTAGATATGGATTTCATTGTGAATTTATAATTTTTTTAGGGGAACCCATGGCCTACTATAATTCTTGAAATTGCTTCCTCAGAAACACTTCAACATGTAAAGGATAAGATAATTGATTATTGGCTAGTCCCAAATCGCTGTGAAGATGTGATTGTTATTAAAATAGGTACATGGAGTGGGAGACGTCATAATAACCAGACTAGACGCCCTTTGCGACGTTTGCGGGTTAGTATAATTTTGAGATTTTTTTTCACACTTCATCTGCTTAATCTATTCTTTTGTATTCTTGACAGTGCCTAAAATTTTGTCGGACTGCAACTCTTCAGCAGAATCCTAATGCTACAACATTTGATGCAATTGAAGAGGTAGAATTAGTGTGTTTTTACATTTGTTATTCTCTTGCTTGTTTAGCTCATATTATTACTTGTCACTTCAAGATTGAGTTCGGTTCTGTATATGCTAATGGAAGGGAAAGCCATTTTTGTACTGGGCCTCACATGAAATGGATTACAATCAACCGTGATTGTATTTATGCTGGCTGTCCTCAACCTCCACAACTCCCTAACCTTTTTTCTGTCATTTCTTCAGTGCCTTTCAGGCCTCCTCAATTTCCTTATCCTCTTCAAACATCAGGCGTTGCTATTGACCTATATGATATTCAACAATCGATTTTTCAAGCTATGGGTCCAAATTGAAAGTGCAAGAATAATTTGCAATACAAAGTTTAAATTTATATATAAAATAATAAAGCGAAGCATTGTTACATAGTAATAATGATTCCTCTCTAGCATAGCAATTTTAGATAAAATAAATAAAAAGTATAGATGCTTAGAAAAATAAAAACCTGTAAAACGAACAACTTTGATTGTCTGATGTGGGGCTTGTAATGCGAAATCTGAGTTTGTTCCATTATATGTAATCCTATCTGTGATGAAAAAAAGCAGTGATTAAATTAAAGTTTTGAGTTTACTCAATAAGACCCAATTCCAGAAGATGTTTCGGAATAACTATATATGGGTCTTCGTAGTACCAAACATACCTTAAAGCAATCCAGTTTTCTTCACATAATTCTTTCTTGAGTTGATCCCATGCTTGCTGTTTGATAAAATTATTGGGATCCCCTCCGTGAAAGAATTCGTGATATTTTTCGTGTTGTATGCCTTGTACTTCAATTGTGAAGCCATATTGCGGATAAAATATATCAAGTTCTAGTCCATTTGGATATTCTTGTGTCTTTAAGAAATCAGGTCTGCGGATTAGTGAAGGGGCACCAAGATACTTTGTTAAAATCTCATGACACAGCTTTTCTCTCTTATATTTTGGGCAGAATGGACACCAAGTTCCTTGTTGAATACTATTAGGAATAGCTTTCCATTGATGTTTATTCTCACAAATCCATTCTAGCTTGGTACGTGAGTTATAGTATTGATCTGAAAGGCAATCGCCATTTTTTACTTGTGCGAGTTTACGCATATCCTCAATTGTTTGATAACGACCAATGCAAAATGGACACCATTGTTTTCTATTTTTAATGTGTTAAAGTGTATTTTGCCATTGATGGTTAAATTGGCAACGCCATGTTAGCGGTTCGTCTATATTTTTATACTCAATCGAAAGGCATTCCCCACTCCTAGATAGTGCAATTTCCTTTGCATCCTCAAGGGTTAGTTTTGCAATACCCGCACAATATGGGCACCATGAACCAGAATTTTTAATGTTATGAAACGGACTGCTCCAAATATGACCTTGATGGCATTTCCACGTCATCGGAATTTTAGAATTACTATATGAAGTTGAAAGACATTTACCATTTCGGCTAAGCGCGATTTGCTTAGCATCTTCAAGAGTAAGACGGGCATTTCCTGCACAATGTGGACACCATTTGCCATGATTTTTTATGTTATTAAAAGATGCATTCCATATATGACCTTTAATGCAACGCCATAGTAATGGCAATCGTTGATTAACATACCTTTCCGATAGACATTCTCCACCCCTTAATAGTGCAATTTGTTTAGTGACCTCAAGAGTAAGTTTCATATTACCTGCACATTGCGGACACCATTGTCCTAAATTTTTAATTCTAGAAAGTGGAGCACTCCATACATGGTTCTTAGAACAACGCCACATTAATGGAGTTCTATTATCTTTATATTCAGTTGAAAGACACATTCCATCACGCTCTTCAGCAATCATACATGCATCATTTAATGATAGCTTTTTCATTGTTTTTCAGTCATAGTTGAATCTCTTTTCGTAAATCTAATGGAGTATCGAATCTTAATCTAATTGCAAGAGGATCATCCTCGGGTTTATCTAGGTCAAACACAACAAATTCTCCCTTTCGTAAATAGCTGTTAATAACCATTGATGCATCTTTCACATCATTAGTATAACGTTTAATAATTTTTGAAATATCTTCATATGAGCTACCTGAGTTAAATATCACTAGATGGGAAATATTTTCACGAATAATTATCGGGACATGATGATATTTTTGCGTTACATATATTGGACTTATATTACGATGACGTCCATGTGTGAAGAATGGAATAATTCGGTTTTGGATGGACTCGGGGGCTACACATAAATCCTCAAAAATAATTACAGTACTCCTCTCTGGAGAAAATGATTTTACACTAGGAATTTTTTCAGGTGAGATATATTTGAATCTTATATTTTCATAGTAAGGTGCTTTAGGATTACCTGCGATTACTCCATACATATATCTAACAAATGCCCATTTAGGTTCATCTGGGTGGTATCCACAAACTATCAAATCATCACATCGTATATAGCGGGATCCACCCTTTTTCTTTTTATATATACATTCACCTTTGTCACCAACAAAAATATTTCCAAGTATATTAGTTTTACCCGTACCACTCTTACCACTAACTACCTTACTGAAAGGCCATGACATTGCTGGATGTCCAACATTTCGAATTGATTCATGTTTATTAGCTTCATCTATATCCATAAGGAATAGTTTCATAGGAGGTATTTTTGTTTTTGAATTCTCTTGCATATTGATATAAAAATATGTAACAAGTCACTAGCTTTGCTATTAAGATTGAATCAGAGGTATTGTATCTTTATATTAATATATCGTTATTTTTGTTTTTTATTTTTTTTTGACTATTCCATATAGGTCTAATAAACGTAATCCATATAGTAACGATAATTAACAAAGAAAGTAAAAGTAATGCAATTAATGGTGATCCCAATGCACCAGGTCTCATCGCTTCCACATCTCCCATCGAAATCTGAGGACAGGTTCCATTCAGAGAGATAGTACTATTTTCCTGTTGAGCAAGGTATGGTGTCATATTCTTTATCTCATGGGTTGGAGATATATCTTTACTAGTTTCACTAACACTAGTTTTAGATGCTTTACCATCCTCACTCCGTGAGTCACTTATCTTGGTATTACTGGTGGCAACTGTTTCACAGCTATTCTCAGTATCGATTTTTTGGGCCTCATCCACATTTTTTCTGCGTATAAAATATTTACTGATATTACTACCCACAGAGATATTATTAGGACTCAATATATTTTTTTCTTCAGTTCCACCAACAATAGATTCTGATATATCCTCCGATTTCAGACACTCAAGATCACTAACTGTTGAAGCTAACTCCCGTTCCACTTCAGCTATTTTGGATTTAAGGGATAGATTCTCAGATTCCGTTTTCGATAAGTTTTCCTGAATTGAGAATGCATCTTTCTGAGCTGACGCTAACTTACTATTTAATATTTTGTTCATTGACTGGAGTGATTTTATTTTTTTCAATCGAATGATATCCTTGGCCCCATATTTAGTATTGGAAATCTGTAATTGGTTAATTTGAGATGTTAAAGTATCTAACTCTGAGCTCAATCGCTTAACCTCATTTATAAGCTGGTAGGTATGCTTGGAGAGTTTCTCTTTATCTTTATTGGATTGTTTTAAATCGCGTTGTATACGCTTATTGTCTTTATCTAAGACAGAACATTTATTGGCAAGTCGATTGCCACACTCTATAGCAATTTCTCGATCTCGATTTGCACAAGCAAGCTGATTTTCAAGTTCCGTTCGACTAGGCGGATATCGATTTGATGGTATGTCTCCAAGTTTTTTGCCTTCACCTATATCAGATAATGTATGGATTCGAGGCATATTATCCAATTCTTATAGATATCTAAAAAAATTAATATATTTGTATTTTGCATATAATATATTATATAGATAGAATATACGTATTAGATAGAATATATGGGGGCTGTTCTAGGAAAAAGTGGGTTTCTTCAGATTTTTTGTTTTTGAGATATTCATAAAAACAAAAAGCAC